TTTTTTTTTTTTTAATTACCATGTATAGTACAGTCGTCCAAAAAAGTCGCTTTTTAAATTGCAGCACAGTGTGTCCAGGCCTCTTTAGACTAACTAGTAAGATATCCTGGGTCAAATGCAAATGTGATCTAAGTGCTTTGAAGTCAATGGAGTTCTGCACTTTTCATGCCCGATAGGTATGCTTTTGACTATGGTATTGCACATAGAAACTGTCCTAATGTTAAGACTGGGACTAACTTATGTCTCAGGCAAAGGGCACGACGTGTTATTTTAGAAAACCATAACGCTGGTTGCAATGAACATGAGCCCTAGATAACTAGAGACCAGGGTTTTTCTCATATTTCTTGGGTACGCAAATCAAAACATAACGCATGTCTCATTCTTTTTAAAAGAGCTCCTCCTGGAAATCTCCATGCAGCACAGATTTGCATGCTGGGTGTAAATTTTCTAGGACATTTCCCCAGAAATCTGCATTTAGATAGAAGTATTTTACTAAAAACCTGAGATTTTATGTGGGGTGGATTTCTTTTTTGCAGCTGTGCTCTAGATAGGTAGCGAGAAGGCAATTTTTTTTATGTAGTCTTTTATGAAGAATCCAGTACCAATTGCAAAATATTATACATATGGAAATGGATAATATAAATATATTAATCCTTCTTGAAACCCCAAACCCAAATGAATTGAGCTTCTTGTGATCCATCAACCAGATAGACGATGAGGCTTTTTGAAGAGCCCATTCACTTGAGCTTTAAGCAATCTGAAGCCGGCCTTTTCTTTCATCTGTGGTAAACAGATTGGGAGAGACTAGGTTAATACATTGGTCTCTTTATGGTTAAACTCCTGCTCTTTGTGGCTTATACCTTTTCAGATATTTAAAGTCCTGGAACTCTCTTTGTCTCTCTCTCTGCTTAAGTAGTTGTTGACAGATTTTTGAATTCAGGGAAGGAAAAAAGGAAGGGAAAATTAACCTGAGTCAGATAACCTAAGATCCCAATATGAATCACTTACAATGTGGGGGGGAGGGGGGTTTCTGTTACATTATAAATATTTATCTTAAACACTGGATTGAATTCTTATTCCAGTCCATTCTTTTTCTGTGGAGACTGTATGTCTGTTTGGTGCATACTCCTCACATTTCTTGCTTGCTGCTGAATCCTCAGGATTTATTTTTAATTCTAGAATTTTTTCTATCTGCTTGCATCTCCCTCTATCAATCTTTTTATGGACTGCCTGACTACAATATGGAAATCAACTTGTACCCAGTAAATGGCATGAATGACTTTAAACTTGGTTTGCATCCTTACCAGGAGACTGCTCCTTGCTAAGTGTGGATGCAGATGCAAACCTGGCATATATTGTGCTGTGAATAAAGGTTGGTATGTGGACATAAGTGAACTGTGTTTGATGGAAATGGCTCAGAGGAGAGTGTCTTAATCAGCTCACAAAAAATAGTTGCAGGTTTTTAGCTAGAAGCTCAGTACTCCACATGGCTCCATTCAGTGACTTTGCACTGAAATGAACATCTCTTCCTTTCAAAGCCAAAGACACTGTTTTCATTTAAAGACCAGTTTTGAATGTTCCCTCAGAAAATAAATAATTAGAAAATGATAGCATATCATAACAAATAAAGGACACCCTCTTTCTGATGATTATGTGCCTAGTAAGAAGCTAAAATCCTTATTTTATCTAATAAGTAACATTTTATAATGTACAAAATTGTGTCTTTATGCGTAGCAATTGACGTCCCAAGCAACACAACGATGGAGGATTATCACTGCTGAAATGTCAAAGGGTTGGGGTGAGCACCAGGTTTTTTAGTCTATTTCTGGGAGGTAAATTCAGATCACAGTTCCCCAAATCAACTGACTTAATTTTTGCCATGAAAATTCAACTTGATTATGAATTTATTATACATCACAGTGAATCTGTGTTGAATATTTTTGTGCAAAAGCGGAGATTGGTTAAAGCACATATATTGTTGTATGTGCTGTGTGTAACTATTTTTAATAGTATTAAGGACCCAACACTTGAAGATGCTGAATATTTTCTGCAAGTTGTTACAGGCCTCTGGTCTAAGGATGCTCGGCACCTTGTGGGTTGGGGCCCTAACTTTTCTCCTATGAGAGACGAAAGAGCATGTCAGTCTAATTTAAAGTGACTTTGCCATACACATATTTTGCTTTCAGAGCGGGTTGGATATCAATGGGATTAAATGCTCTGGTTATAGAAAAAAAATCCCATGCATTTAAGCATTTAACTGCCCCTTCAAACATTGATCAGATGTGGAAAATTGAGATCTATTTTCTGTGTGTGGCAGACTGGCAGGGACTGGACCTAGGCTTAGATTTTCTGCCTCCACTAACAGAATTTTGTTAGTGAGTCTGCCAAACCCAGGCAATTGCTGGCAGCGTTGGTGGAAAGTAAAGCAGAGAATTCAGTGGGTTTTTTGTCATCCCATAAGGTTAGCACTTATGAAGCGTTCTCTTGTATAATGAAGTCCATTTGTCTGATGTAAGAGACTTCAACAGCTCATCAGTGTTCCACAAGAAGCAATAAGAAACCGTTCTGCTTTTGCTGTAGACGGAGGTAGCAAAGATGCTGAAATGTCATGCTCTGCATTCTTCTGTTTATTTTGGTGGATCAGAAAGACATACACAGAGTGGTAATATAATTTAATCCAAGGTCAGCCACACAGATTATGTGAGACCTCATCGAATGAGAAAATGAATAATAAACAAAATTAAAACATTGACTCCAGTCTTTGTGGCCTGCTTGTTAGCTTGGCATATCAGGTTATGGAAAGGGCTATATATTATACTTTTGGAAGGTCAGGTTCTTTGTATGTTATTTTGTTTATTGGTTTTACACGAGGGAAAAAGACAAATTAAGAATTACTATCAAGAAATCTTGCTAGATAGTGATATTCATTCACCAATTTTAATAATGATTCCCAGAGGTAATGACAGAAGCCTCAGTGTTTGCCTCATTTAAAACTGAACTGGACAAAGCACACCACTATATAACTCAGCAGAGAATCCCATGTGGTGCAGATGACAGATTAAATGAGCAAATAGGCCTTTTTCCACCTCTGATTTTGCAGCTTGTCCTCAGATTCAGGCTTACGTAGACTTCTGAAGGTACAGCTGGACTCTAGGTCTGTGTTATGCATTAACAAGTAGAAGCATAAATTAAACCTTGAAACTTTTTAGAAAGAACTACCAAAAAGGTGTGTTTTTTAGAAATTTGAGAGTATCCCAGCTGCACCTCAAATGTAATAATAGGATGCCTATTTAATTTTCCATTGGGAAGTTGTGTAAAACAGGTCAAGACAGTACCTGAAAAGCTTTGTCAGCTGGTGTTTCGTGCATGAAATATTATTGGGCGAGTCTTGTGTGTGTGAATATTCCTAGACACAGATACAAGGACAGTATAAAGCATATTTTCCTTTTCTTGATAATCAAATGCTCATCCTACACCACAGAAAAGATTTTAGATAAATTTTATGTACAAATTATGCATTCATTATTTTCAATGTAAGTTTAATATTTGATGGCTGATATATTATAAGGAAAATATATTTAATGCTCTTTGTATCATTCTGATTGTGTACAAACATTACAGTATTCTGCCCTCTCTGACATGCACCTAGGGAGTGAAAAAGGAAATCACTGTTTATGTCTCTCTCTATTATCAAGCTATCCCAGTGCTACAGTATCTAAACTGGTGATGTCTGCAGTGATCTGAGCTGTATATAAAAATCTAGTAGTTTTCTTTTTTATGTGCGATATGTCACCCATTCTTCCTGCTATGTGTCAGGGTTTCCTTAAGCATTTCCAGTTACACCTATGAATATTGACTAACAGCACTATATCAACATTGTCATAAGCCAATCCTAATATTTGACAACATCAAAGGGAGATGGGAAGTGTTTGCTCTGATGGAGCTTGAACATGCAGAGTGATATAGGATGGAAAAAAATGGAAGGGACTAAACCCTGGATATCAAGGAATTAATAGTTGGTGTTTGTTAAAAAAAAAACTAGCCTTAATATTAACTACCAGTTAAATTGTTTTAAGTGATGTTGAGTGTTTTGTACAGCTGTGGTGAATCTCCTAATGTTTCTGCTTGGCAGAACTGGTTTGTGATATCATAGAACTACTGTATGCAAAGAACAAATAAGTTTTTCTTTTTTTCCCTGCTCTGAAAGAGTTGTGGGAAGCTTGGCTGGACGGTCTCTCTTAATGTAAGGCGCTGATTAATAAAATGTGTTATAATAGGTGTGACATGCTCTTTAAGACTTTCAAAGCTATGTAGTCTCCCATTAATTCATGTGCAAATTGGAATATGGTTACATTCTGTTGAAATAAAGTGACTGAGACTTCAAGGGTCCCATTTTACTTACATTTATGAAGTTTGCGATAATTCACCACAGCCGCAGAAACTGGCAAGAACAGAGAGATTCAATTTGGTCTGTCTCTCTCCCTCTCTCTTTACTCTTCACTCTTAATGCTTAATAAATTTTCCAGAAGAGAGATACACAGAGTATATTCTCAGGACTGTTAGTTTAAGAAATGTATCGCTTGCTTTTTTCTTTAACAAATTAATGACAGTTGAACTTTCTGCTAAATCCAGTGAATAAAGTTATATTTGTAGAAAGGTTTTTCATACATTGTGGCCTAATCCTTATATGATTTAACTGTGGTCACGATCCTCTTTCGCTCCATGGAAAACATGATTTCACTGCAAAACTTATTTTTTTTCCCCTCTACCT